AAAAAAAAAAAAAAAGTTACGTAGTTTCCAGACTGTACTCAGCAGAGGTAAATGTAGCTCTTGTTTTTTCTATGTAGTTTGATCCTGTGGCCTATAGGATTGAACCAATGGTGGTCCCAGGAGTGGAATTTGAGCCAATGCTGATCCCACATCATAAAGGCAGGAAGCGGATGCACTTAGGTAAGTCTGAGCATAGAACTTGATAATTCTAGACCTTTTGGCCAGTGCAAAGGGCATCATTCACTCTGTTCAGCTGTGTTGGACCCTAAACTCTTTGTAAGTCATTTAATGTTCTTTATTTATATGTTTCAGAACTGAGAGAGGGCTTGACCAGAATGAGTATGGACCTTAAGAACAACTTGCTAGGTTCGCTGCGGATGGCCTGGAAGTCTTTTACCAGAGCTCCATACCCTGCCTTACAAGTTTCAGAAGCGGCAGAAGAAACTGAAGCAGAACCTGAATCAACTTCAGAGAAGCCTAGTGGTCAGTGACACTGTACACGTTGACCAGCTGCCAGATAAGAGGGATGCCATGGTGTGGTATTTTTCATAGTTAATTTAATTTAACATTTAATTTCATAGTTAATATTGCATTATTTTGCTTTAGTTTTCAACTTCTAAAGAGCTCTATTCCTGCTTGCATTTAGTATAAACCCAAGGCAAATGACCTAGCTATCAATGGTATAGGTAATGAGATGTGTTGCGCAAAAGCAGAAAAGGGGATTGGACAAAATTACTGTGACCTGAGAAGGAGCTTGAAGGAGATTGAGAGGAGGAAGATGGGAGAGAGCTCTCTGAACAGAGAGAGAGAACAGTTTACTCTCTGCGGTAAACTTGGAGTATGAGGAGAAGTTAACAGGATAACCCTGAAGGTCAAAGGTTTTAGATTCTTATTATGGTTCTTCCATATCCAGATGTTAACCCAGAAGAGACCTCTGTGGCAGTTAAAGAAGAAGTCCTGCCTATCAATGTGGGGATGCTGAATGGAGGCCAACGCATTGACTATGTGCTACAGGAGAAGCCTATTGAAAGTTTTAATGAGTATTTATTTGCTTTACAAAGCCATCTGTGCTACTGGTAAATGTTGTTTATTTTTGTTTGTTTTGTTTATTTACCTGTTTCATAGATATTTGATAGATGTAGAAAAAGGAGGATAGGCCAGGTGCATTGGCTCAGGCTTATAATCTCAGCACTTCAGGAGGCCAAGGTGGACGATTGCTTGAGTTCAGGAGTTTGAGATGGCCTGGGCAACATAGCAAGACCTCATCTCTACAAAAACTAAATTAGTTGGGCATGGTGGTATGCACTTACAGTCCCAGTTACTTGGGAGGCTGAGGCAAGAGGCTCGCTTGAACCTAGGAGTTTGAGGCCACAGTGAGCCATGATCACACCACTGCACTCTAGCCTGGGTGACAGAGCAAGACCCTGTTTCAAAAAAGAAGACCTGTGTACCTTTGGGATTAAAATGACTTCTCATTTAGACAGCACAAGCACAATCATGTCATTTCATGTCATTTCAAGAATCTGGTTTAAACACACTGTTACTTTATTTTGCAGCTGGGTAGAACATGGATGAGGCTAATGATGCCAACAACCATAAATTCAATTAGCTTCGTGTTAAAAATGTGTCTTTTGGCCATTTAGGTGCACATGAATGAACTGGAACAAATATTACTGTCATTATAATATGACAGAATTAATTATTATTTTATTTTATTATTTGAGACAGGGTCTTGCTGTGTCAATCAGGCTGGAGTGCAGTGGCATGCTCATAGTTCACTGCAGCCTTGACCTCCTGGGCTCAAGTGATCCTCCCACCTCAGTCTCCCTAATAAGTAGGATGACCGTTGTGCACCACCATGCCCAGCTAATTTTTGTAGAGACAGGGTTTCGCCGTGTTGCCCAGGCTGGTCTCAAACTTCAAGCAATCAATCCGTCTCCGCCTCCCAAAGTGCTGGAATTACAGGCATCAGCTACCACGTCTGGGAAGAATTATTATTAAATATAATTGGTTACCTGATGGATTGTAGAATGGATTAATGTGCTTATTGAAATTCAGGCCAGATATGGTGGCTCATGCCTACAATCCCAGCACTTTGGGAGGCTGAGGAAGGAGGATTGCTTGAGGCCAGGAGTTGAAGGCTGCAGTGAGCCATGATGGTGCCACTGCACCCTAGCCTGGGTGACAGAGCGAGACCATGTCTGAAAAAAAGAATAGTATAAAAGAATACAAATTAATCCCTGAAGAAGTTTTCATAAAAATAAAGCAAGGAAAATAAGGTGGGTCAGAGATAAGTGTTTTAAAAATGAAAGCTCAGACCATTTAAAAATGAAAGTAGCCAACGTGGCGAAATCCCGTCTCTACCAAAGATACAATTAGCCAGGTGTGGTGGTGCATGCCTGTAGTTCCAGCTACTAGGGAGGCTGAGACAGGAGAATTGCTTGAACCTGGGAGGCAGAGGTTGCAGTGAGGCGAGATCGTGCCACTGCACTCCAGCCTGGGTGACA